CAATAACACATGAATAACACGCAATAACACATGAATAACACGGAGGGGAATATTCCCCGTGTTACTGCGCCGTTTTTTTCTCCTATCACAAGTGGCGTGATTTTATTGGCTAAGCACCGTATTTCTAGGTGCGTAGTACTAATGTAATATTTTTCCCTTAATCAAAGTTCTGCTTGCTAACTGTCTGTTTTTTTAAGGTATAATCTTTTTATGTTTGTGTTGCCTTCTTTTAACATGGAATTCTGCACAGTGAGTGTGAAATGGCAAAAGGAAACTTTTCCAGCGGTTGAAATAGACACCAGTCAGCCTCCTTATGTTTTTAAGTGTCAGTTGTATGACTTAACTGGTGTACCTCCTGAAAGGCAAAAGATCATGGTGAAAGGTGGTCTCCTAAAGGTATAGAATTTACTTTTACGAAACTAGACATAGTGATGATCTATGATATCATAATAAGCTGGTTAAGAAATCTTTTTTTTTGTATAGGATGATGCAGACTGGGCTACTCTAGGAGTAAAGCAGGTGACGATGCTTGCTTGTAATCCTCTTTTATTCATATTCTTTTCTTTGCGCTTGTATTTTTCCAAACTTTTTAGCTTTATAGGGACAAAGGCTGATGATGATGGGTACAGCTGATGAAGCTGTGAAAGTTCCAGAAAAAGGTCCTGTGTTTATGGAAGATCTTCCAGAAGAAGAACAAGTGGTTACTGTGGTAAGCGACTGGCTTAATCTTCTGGCAAGTGAGACCACCTAGATGGTTTTTTGTAGGTTTTGAAATTATACCTTTGTTACTTCAAATATTCCTATACAGACATATGTATTAAGGTGCTGCACCCTGCTGTAATATACTTATATAATTTTGATAAAAAAATATGTTATGGAAAGTCATCTACCATCTACAGCATCAACCAACTATCTTCCACTGCTTTAACGTCAAAATTGACCAATGATTTCCTAAATGCTATGATATTATTTAGCAATGAAGGTTAGGCTAAAATTACGTTAAGAATGTTGTTGTGAAAGTATAGTTTTTAAACGAGTTACAACGTTTTTAAAAAGAGCAAGAGATTTCTGTTATTGTCTATTAAGCCATGCATGGACTAGAATTCAAGATGGGAGACGGCTATGACGGAGGGTGTCAAAGAGGGGCTTCAGGTATGATTGAACATATAATATTGCAGAAGAATTGGACAAACAGTCTTTTGCATGTATTTTGTCGTTCTTTTGGAAGATGAAATATTTGCTTGCTTTGCTTTACTTCCTTCTTTTGTTGTATTAGGTTGAAAAACTTGGGCTTGGGCTTTAAGAGTAATTATGTAGGGTTATTAATGTTTCAATTTCGAACCGAGTTGGGGTCGGTTCAAATAGATTTAGTGCGGCTCGAAATCGGCTCGTGGCTCATTATATTCTATTTCGAGCTGAGCCAGCTCGAAATTGAATCGAGCTCAATTTGGCTCGAAATTGAAATGAGCTGGCTCAAATTGAGTTTTTCGGATGCTTTTCAGCTCATAATCAGCTTAATTCGGCTCAAAATTGAAACTAACTGGCTTCAATTGAGCTGTTTTGATTCGATCCAGTTCTAAATTGGCTTGTGACTCCTTGTATTCAATTTTACTTAGCATTATATATATAATTTTTACAAATAAAAAATATTATGAGTTGATCTCGAATCAGCTGGAGCTGACCATGTATGGCTTGAATTCGGCTCGAAAAAAATTCAATCCACAGTTTTGGCTCATAACTTGGCTCACTTATTTCAATCCGAATTCGAATCAATTTTTGATCATTAACAATCTTCGACTAAATTCGCAGCCTTATCATTATGTGATCTAGGCATTATGATATTCCGTGGTACCTGATTATTAATGATGTGTTCTTACAAATTTATAGTTTAACATCATGCAACTGATGTATTGAAAGGATAGCACTAGTTGGATCAACATACTTCTTTCTAATATTATCATGAATCATCATTTCTTAAGTTTTTCAATGTTATTATTGAAAATATGATATAATAAAATCAATTTACATGCACAACTCCATCAACCGTTATCATGCATTCATAGCAAAAGAAGTTCAAGAAAATTTAGTATTATTTTCCTATAGGTTATATTTCTACCACTACCCGTCATGTTAAAAGTAGTAGCTTGAATCTCGATGTTTTCATTGAGACTATTAATTTACAATTGCATTTTTGTTCTTGAGGTGATATGTTTAAATCATAAAAATAATCCTTCTACAATGTCGGGGTATGATTAGGTGCAATAATCCTGCACCACTCTGGAGATTGGTGTGAGCTAGATGCACACTGGGTAAATCATCTTTAATAGAAAACAATTATATTCTAGTTGGCGAATGAAAAGTGATTAAATCCTTATTATTATTATTTTGAAAAAAGTGATTAAATACTCATTCAGGAATATCTTATAAAATTTTCCTTGTGAGTCATCATAAATAACCAGGTCAAAATATGGTAATGGAAATTAGCAAGAATTTTCAAAGAGAATAAAAGAAGAAATACGTAGGACAAAATAATTATAGAATGGAGCACAGATAAACATTAAAGTTTGAAAGCCACTTAGTCGGGGTTTCTTGTTTGAAAATGGGTGAAAATATGAGAGTAATAATGGATTTTTTTCCTTCTTATAGCTCCATCTAGTGAATAAGATATGAAGCCTCCTATTCACCAGCATATCATTACTTAATAAATTCCCATTAGATTCAAGAGGAAGCCTTGAATCTTGATCATTTGTGGCTTCTCCAATACGAGGAAATGCGGAACTTCTGGAGTTGTTAGACCTAATGTTTTTGCGCAATATCTATTCATGCTACTTTGGGTATCCTCTCGTCCTTCATAATCCCTTGACAATAATTCTAGTCATGTTGTTGGTACATTTTCTTTTCTTTGTCACATATATTCTAACTAAATCCCTATTTTTCACTAAATTATGTACAATAGATGTTATTCTAACCATACCTTCAATATAATCATGTCTCAATCTATTCTTTCTAGTTTTATTGCAGTTCTATCTTAATTCTTTGTACTCATTTAGGCTTTCTGTGTCTTCAGTATCGCCCAGCATTCAAATCTATATAACACAATTTATCTCATTTTACTAACTATGACTGTACTGTATCGGTGGTTATATTGGCGTTGTTTTAGTTCTGATCAATCAAGGGCGTTACCTTGGAGGTCACAGCTTATCATCATGAAGAAAATCAGCAAGTAGTAAATATCATTTTTAAATTGAGTTATTGTTGTTTGTGGGTTGCTGGTGACCTGGTTAGTTTGACATCCTCTAAATTATTTGCTCATCTTTGATATAGGAGAGAGGGACTTCTAAGATTCCAACTTATAAGGGCAGATCTAATTTTTTGTTAACTAAAAAGCTGCAACATTTTGCATTAGAATTTTAAATATTGTTTGTAGTTAAAATTTTAAATGCGTGACATTTTTAAATGCCCTAGATCGATGTTGTACAAAAACACATTAACCTTGTTGTGTCTTTATTAAAAATTTTGACTCATCATATGCTTGTTCGCTGTTCTTTATATAGTGTATTAATCGTAATGTCTGCCTTCGCTTGTTTTGTATTGCCGCATTGTTTCTTCCTTTTTTTGATTGATTGAAATTTTTGTTTACCATCATCAGGGCCAGAGTGCCGGCCTCTTTAATCTGGGAAACACCTGCTACATGAACTCTACTCTGCAATGCCTCCATTCTGTTCCTGAGTTGAAGGCAGCATTACAGAAGTGAGCTTTTGGTCTTTTCTTGGAATTTTCCCCACACTCAGTGGTGTTTTTCTATTTGATTAATTGTTAATATTCACTTACCTATGCAGCCACCCATTTTCTCACTTAGCTTGTCATTTTTCTATTTATGAGTAGCTACACAAACTCCGGAAGAAGTAATGATTTGGATCAGTTTTCACATCTTTTAACGGTTGCAGCACGTGATCTTTTTAGTGAACTTGATAGAACTGTCAGACCAGTTGCTCCATTGCAGTTTTTGTCGGTTAGTTCACTTCTAGATGGCTTCACATTAATTATTTTGCAAACTTTTTCTTAATCCTTCAAAATTTCTGTGCTTCTTGTCCTGTCGGTTATTGTTATGTTTATTGCCTTGGTGGTGATATAACTTGACATCATCCGTGATGTTGTTGCCTATGTTTGATTTGGGTTAACTTGGTTCTATTAGGTAATTAATATTAAGTTGATTCTCCATTCAACTTCCTCAGCTAGTTCAAGGATTATGGAAAAGGTTGAAGGGGACATGGATAAAATCAAGCTCAGGCACCCATTGGCAATTCTATGCCTTGAAAACTTTCGATCTATAAGTTGTCTAGGAAGCTGGTTTTTAATCACTTATTTCAGGGACTTAGCGATAATGTTAGGTGGTTGTTACTAAAAGTTGAACTTGTCCAAGTTGGATGAAAGTAGTCTGATGATTTTTGCTGCACCTTAGTTTTTGAGAAAATTACGTGCACGTAAAAGGCCAAGTATATAAATTGCTCAGTAATTGTTGGTGCCAAATTTTTAAGTTTTTTTTTTTTACTTTATTGCTAATTGTTTATTCCTTATTGATGGACTTGAATCATTCTTTCAAAATCTATCAGTTCGTTCTTTTGACTCTCTTAAGTTTCTGATCCCAGAAATGTTTTTCTACATATTACTGTTTTAAAAAATATCTTTAAAATTTGTCAATGTAGAAACAGTCATCTCTCTGATGATATTAGTGGAGATCAAATCTGGATTAAACCTGGCTATAGTCTTATATACCAAAACATTTTATTTTATTTTCCATACAAGAATTAATAAATGTCTAAACTAATACACCCTATTTATTTACATGTTGATTTTTGCCTTTTCCTTATATAAATGTTGTTATAACTCGCCCCAACAAATTTAAAGTTATCTATGAGAGAATGGATGGTTGGACGGAGGAGACATATTATTCTCAAAATTTTGAACAATCCAAAATCATCATCAAAATAATTAAGAGCCATTGAACATAGAAATTAAAGATCACATCCAATTCACATATTTAAATCAAGTTTCATATATTAATTTTAATCTAAAACTTTAAAATAAGCTAAAATTATTTCATTGGTATTTATTTTTATTTGCTCCTAATCTCACATGTTAGCCATTCAACTTAAGGAGCTTTATCTGTAATAAGCATTCAAATAACAGGCTAAATTATATAATAACTTAGTAAATAATTACAGTTCTATAGTATACACTAATTTTTATGCATATTTTCTAGCATGCTCATGTCCAATTGACTAAATACTAACTTTTCTTTTTTTTTAGAAATTTTTAAATATTTATGTTTGCATTTCATTTAAGAAGTTATGTTAGGAGCATCGTCTAAAATATTGTATCACTAAGCTATCATTTATTTATATTTTCTTTTACAAGTCTTGTCCATTTTTTTATTTGTACGATTACAATTGCATTGTCAACTAATACTATAAGAGGGTGATTCTTTTGATTGATTTATATATTTATTTCATTTGATTATCATTATATTTATTTCAATCAATTAAATAATAGTTATGGATATAAATGTGAGGAGTCTTTCTAAGCGTAATGATTATGTGATTAAATGAAACTAATTGTTGTTAATTTATCAATTGACTATTTTGTTTTTTATACCTTTTAGGTATAGTCTAATTGAAATCATACGAATCAATTAATGCTTATAAAATTTAAAAGAAATGTAATTAATATAAAGTGTGTAACTTCTCGCTTCAATCTTATGTAGATTTTCATTGTCACTTAACTCACTCCTACTGTATTTAGTACCTGCAAAGATAAATTGTATTAAATTAAAATTTAAGATTCTCATAATATTTAATATGCTATCTTTAATTTCATTAAGCTTACTCATTTATAATTTTTTTTCAGCGTACACTTTATTGTACAAAAGCACTAAAATTCCTAATTTTTGCATGCTTCAAATATAAAATTTAGATATACGTCTACATCATAAAATAATAAGTTCCATTTTCATATTTTATAATAAAATGCATAAAATTTTCTAATTTAATTGCATTTCTTACGTAATTTCTTCATTTGCTCAATCAACAGTCCCTTTACCAAATTTACTGTTGTCCTCCATTCAGAACCTCACTCTTCTAATTTAAACTACTCTAGGGCTTAAATATTTATACCAAAATAAAAGACATAAGCAGAAACTTACCTGAATTCCTTTTCTCTTTACTTACAAAATCAAGCATACCTTTTAATCTTTTGATTTATATTTTATACTTTTATTTTCTAGTGTCATTTGGTAAAAGCTAATATTAATACTCAATAAACATTAAATTAAAATTATTATATTTGAAATTTGAAACTCTTACATCACACCAATTTTTAAATCAATTCTATTTGTTCGACTCTCCCTCGTTCTCATTATTTGGCTTGTTGCTTCTTCGACAATACCTACAACTCTTTACTTCCCTGCACTATTCTTGGATGTGTCAATCACCTTTCACACGTTGATGCTGCTTCACATGATCTCTTCTCTGTATTTGTAATCATAGCGGCTGCATCAACAATTATCCAACTGGTCACTACTTTGTCTCTCGCACGCGACTCCACTTTTTGCCCAACTTTGTTTCATGTTCTGTTCAATCATTGTCCTTGTTCTTCATTTAGTCGAGATCGCTTTGCATGCATCTATTTCAAATCCCTTCGATGCTTTCTATTTTGCTTGGATGAATCCTTCTCACCTCATTTTTTTGTCTCCTTAGTAGCAGAATCGGATTGTCTGTTCCCTTCAACTGACAATTAAATATGTATATTCTATAATTCTTATTTAGGGATCGACTTTAAGCTCATATCTTTTTTGCTTTAGTTATGGATGGTCTTACTGGACACTAACAAGGGTATGTACCTTGGTGTATGTTTTTTGTTGATGATATCCTTGTGCACAAGACAAGAGAAAAAGCTCATGAAAAACTTAAATTATGGAGGTCTACCTTGGAGTTTAAAGGCCTTCGTTTGAGTAGAACTAAAACTGAATGCATGGAATGTAATTTTAGTAGTAATAGTTCTAATGACAGAAATGTAACTATGGATGATCAAATTATTAAAATGTGTGAACGCTTTATATATCTCGGGTCTATTGTTCAAAGTGATGGTGATATTGATGGGGATGATATTAGTAGAATTCAAGTTAGCTAGTTGAAGTGGAGGAATGCTTCGGACCTATTGTGCGATAGAAAAGTACCGCTTAGACTGAAAGAAATATTTTATAAGATGGTGTGATGGGACCTGCAATGCTATATGGCGCTGAATGTTGGCATTTAAAAGAGAAGCATAAAACTAAGTTAAGTGTTGCCGAGATGAGAATGATTAGGTGGATGAGTGGCCTAACACTTAAAGGCAAAATGCAAAATGAATATATCCGTGGTAGGGCTGGTGTAGCTCCAGTGACAGACAAATTAGAGAGAGCATCTTAGATGGTTTGGTCACATTAAACGTCAACCATCTGATGATCTGATTAGAAGAGTAGATGCTTTAGATTCGACTTATGTTAAGAAAGGCGAAGGTAGACATAGGAGAACTTGTGCATATTGTATAAAAAATATTCTTAATTTATTAGAATTAAATGAAAATATGACACTAAATAGGACGCAATGGAGAAAAAGGATTCATGTATAACGGTTTTGTTGTTGTTGTTGTTGTATTCTATTGTTCTTATTATTATATTGGCTTTTACTATATATAAGATATTGACACAGACACATAATCATCTTTCCTTAACAATAATTTACCATTTTTTGTGGTTATAGGTCTTACGGAAGAAGTATCCGCAATTTGCACAGCAGCACAATGGTGCCTATATGCAACAGGTGTTATTTGGCTATTTACACTTTTTGACTCCATTCATTATTGCATATTTAATTAACCATGATATACTCTTTGTTACTAAGAATAGGATGCTGAAGAATGTTGGACCCAGTTGATTTATACACTATCACAATCTCTGAAATCATCAAATTCAAGGCATGACTTCCTATTATTGCTAAAATTTCATTACTATTCTAAATGCAACAGAGTATCATTTTTCATGAAATTTGCTAGTATTTGAGGATTTGGATCTGTTACGTTGATACTTAATGAAAGCTTAGAGATATTTAGCCTGACTGTTTGGTATGGATGCGATCAAACTATAAAAGTTAAAGTCATGTTGGATGTATTCTAGAGAGAGATCAGTGATAGCTTGGTGAGGCCCAGCAAAAGAATTCATAACTGGAACAAAGAATAAATTGTTCATTATCAGTTAATTTCTACTTTGTAAACCATTATTTTTGGTTCCATGTCTAAATTAATTAAGACTATTTAAACTTTGGTGTTTGACTTAGACTTGTAGAGATTTAAAACTTTATTTTCCGGGTTTTTTTCTTTTAATATAAATATGAGGAGAATTTTGTGAATATAAAAAATTGTAACTGACAAAAAAATTAATCATTTAGGTTTTAATAAAATTTCTGTTGGATGTGTTAGGCATACCTTGGATTATTTCTTCTCTCTTTTATTTTGTTACTGGACTAAAAGTGTGTTTGGCTTTTGTTAAGTTCGATACAAATTATTTTTTCTACAATTGCTTAATTTTTTGAGAATCTACATATGATTTTAGTAGAAAGCTATTAAATTATCATCTGCATTGAAGACTTTCTTATTTCTCATTGTCTCTTCTATTAACAAACAACTATCAAAATTAGAAGTTTTTAATTTGTATATTTATGTGTTTTCATGCTTTCATAGATTTTATAGTAGATTCACATTATTAAACTTGTAGGCCTTAGAATATCTCACATTGATAGTTTTTAAATATATTGAACTTAAGAAAAAAACCCAAATGATCCTCCGATTACTTGTAGGAGGCCATTTTAGAATCACGATTGTATAAAAGATTTGATACAGTTAAAAATGAGATACTTTAGGAATTTATATCTTGACCTTTTTATAAAGTCTAATTTTTTTTTTTACTTTATTTGGGATATAACTTATTTTAATATTACCAATATCATTTGCTTTATTTTAAATGCTCTATAATCAAATTAGTGCATATGAAATTCATAGAATTTAACAATTATTATTGATAAATTTTCTATATAATAACCCAATCGTTTTTTAAAAAAAATTAAGTATTAGATTAAAAAAAATTCAAGATGTGAATTTATGAAATACCCAATATTCATTAACTTTAACTTTAATTTTCTTCTCTTTTAACTTAGGGTCATTTTGACTCTTATATTAATTGACAACGGACTATATTAAATATTTTATATAGTCTTGGGATGTCATGACCTAGTCCAGGAGCTTAGACTTATCAAAACTCAGAATTCTAGACCCTATCACAACTCCGTCCAACCCTTCCAACACCTACAACACCCCTCATCAAACCCTTCAACTTTTTTCATATCACTCGAATCAGTCAACACACTTATTGTCTTGCAGGTGCCCACCCCTATCACTCTGACCCTAGAAGGCCATATGTTTTTTTTGTGTTGATTTATTCTTATTTTGCAGAGTCATCTTTGTAACCTTTGAATTTCAACATTATACTTATATTTCTATTGTTATTTGAGTTAGCTCCAGTTCATTTGGTATCAGAGCTAGTTTAACTTTGGTATTATCCTAGGGTTTCTAGCATTTGCCCCTACCCAAGTCACCTCCACCCATAAGTTTTCTTTCATATTCCCAAACCACAGACAAAATTTGACCTAACCCTAACTTTTCCTTACCGATTTCAAAATCAGCAACCCCAATTTAATTTTCCTACACCTTTAATTAGTCTGATACAACTTCTTTCATCTCCTAACCCTAAACCCTAGCCATGTCACCAAGGAGATACATGTCCGAGCCTATCCAGGAAGAGATATAGCGAGAAATCTATTGACTTCCGCAGGGCTTACAGACATAGAGGATGAAAGTCAGAGATAATTACCCTCAATCGTGACAAGTTGAAGGGGTGAAAGAAACAAGAATTCTCGCCCTTTCGATAGGGAAAATTTCAGTGATGAAAAAGAAATGCCATAACAATCGAGGAAGGAGGTCACATATGGAGGACACAAAGAGTTTAAAATAAAGGTGGATCTACTAGAGTTCGATGGAGGTATGAATCCATACTACTTTATCGAATGACTACAATCAATTGAGAGGATCTTTGACTACAAAGAGGTGCCAAAAGATAAAAGGGTGAAGCTTGCAACTATGAACTTGAGAAAGAGCACCTTCTTGTGGTGGGAAAACTTGTAGAGGAAGAGGAAGAGACAAGATAGTGAGAATATTACTAGATGAGAGAAGATGAGGAAGGAGATGCAGAGAAAATACCTACCTCCTCATTACCGCCAGGATATATTTTCGAGACTCCACCACCTATAATAGAGAGACATGTTTGTGAAGGAGTTCACAACGCAATTTGACCGGTTGCAGATGAAGTATGAGTTGGTCGAGTCAAAAGAACATACCATAGCCTGTTATCTAGGAGGCCTAAAACTTGCTATCAGCAACATTGTGCAGCTAAAACTTTATTGCTCACTTGGAGATGTCCAGACTTTAGCTCTGAAGATGGAGATACAACAGAAACAGAGTAGACCACCACCACCAATCAGGCAACCACCCGCAGTTTGAGACACTAGCAGGAGCAGGCCTTAGGGAGTTGAGAAAATTAGTTCGAATAAAGGCAGGGTCAACCCGAGTGAAAAAAGCTTGAGAAGAATAACACACTTAAATTATAAGCTTGAAAATGCTTCAAATGCCATGGATTTGGATACATGACCTTTAATTGCCTGACGAGTTGTGTTATTTTTTTTACCCAACAGAGCACAATGGAGGCTAGCGATGAGGAGGTTTGCTGAGGAACAGGGTGAGGTTTATCATTTTAGGATGAGGGTAAGATGCTCGTGGCTCAACGTGTTCTATTGAATGAGTATACAAGAGATCCGTAGTGACTTCATCATAATATATTCTACACCCGTTACACAACGAAGGAAAAATATGCAGTCTCATCATCGATGGAGAGAGCAACAAGAATGTGGCGTCTACGTAGATGGTAGAGATGTTGAACCTCATGACTCAGAGACAGTCCCAACTTTATTCTCTGACTTGATTGACGAAGGTGAGCAGGGTTAGCATTGACCAAAGATGCCTTGTGAAGTTTTCGTGAAGGTTGTGCATTTTATATTAAACATAAAAAGAAGTACAAAAAAGTATAAAAAATAGGTCCTCAAGCTTGTGGAAAAGAGGTCTTGTCTTCTTGGAGAATGTCAAAAAGCTCCAAGGATCTTTGGTTTGCATAGAGAAAATAGCTCCATGGGCTAGCTGGCAGAAAGCTGCGAAACCTACCTTTGCTAGTGGAATTGGCGTTAAGGGACTAAAAAAACTACAACAGATTAATCTTTGCAAAATCTTGATCAAATTTAGACAACAACTCTTTTTGGGACAAGTTTATGTTGGGAAAATGCTGTAAGGGCTCTCATCCTAATTTGGTATACAAGAAACTTTGTGATTTCAGAAACTTGGTTAATTTATTGAAGGTTAGGCAGCTTTCCAGGACCACATCAAAAGAAAAATTATATAGGAGAGCTATTTGGGCACGAAAAATGAGCAACCTTGTTAAGCTCCTGTTGACCTCATTTTTAGTGAGGTCTTAGTCTTCTACTCTTAGAACCTAGAATCTAGCCTTAGGAGTTTCTTGTTGATCATCCTAGCGGACTAGCAATGGAGCCCACCTCCCGTAGAACTTCAAGCCACTTCTTGACTCATTTTTGTGAAGAACTCGCATGAGTGGTTCGAAGCACTCAACTTTTAGTTGCAAGGGCTAAGGACCAACATGTAGAGGGCCCGAAATTGAGTTCCTATAAGATCAAATAGCCTTAGGTGAACCCTTTTGTGACTCGATTACTCGCGAACGCCGCTTTTCACGCACTCCCTGCACCACACACGCCTTTGACTTGAATTGACTCGCCCGCCGGCAAACTCGTCCGGACGACCCCGGATGACGAAACGGACCTCGCCGACGCGTCCGGAACGTCAATTTTAGCTAGGAAGGACACCTATATTGCTGTGGTTCCACACTCGTGCGAACTACACGAAAATCGATGCATTTTTCTCCTTTAGCGGGATGCGGGCCCGGACTCAACCCAGGTTTGACTCGGGTCCGATTCAGGCTGGACTCGGGCTGAGCACGGGCTAGGCACCAGCTCACCTGAATTCAAATTTCAAATTTCAAATTTTAAATAAAGTATTTAAATG